CTCTCTCTCTCTCTCTCTCTCTCTCTCTCACACACACACACACACACACACACACACACACAAAAAAAAAAAAAAAAAAAAAAAAAAAAAAAAAAAAAAAAAAAAACACCTTGCTAAGCTCTCCATTCAGGCGGATCAATGTGGCTAGGGTCGGGACCGTACTGGCAGTCGCGCCATTGGGTGTCCATGAGTGGGTGTGTTGGGTGGTTTTTATGACTGTGTCAGATTAGTTTCTCAGACTTACTGCCATTCTTGTCAGGGGATCGGCAGTCTGCTAGGATTGCAAGGTTGGTGTGAGTAAAGTCGACCACTTTTCTCTCTCAGGGATGGGTATCGCTAACTCTGGGCGAGGTGGTGAGTCCTTATCCATCAGTCAAATGCATCCTGGGCAGACTCTGTGGGGTCAACCTCCTGATGAGTCCCTGAAGGTCCGACGGAACAGTCTGGCATAGTCATGCTTTTTTTGAGTGTATAGCGAATATGACAACACACACACACACACACACACACACACACACAAAAGGATGAGACCTTGGAGGAATGGCGAGGGACGAGGAGGTCTAGGTTGGAGGAATTGGGCCCAACAGCCAGGGGGATGTACTGAGAAGATGACATAGGCAGGTAGGGGTAAACTAAAAATTAATTGGGCCCTTTGAAAGTTGGCAAGTACAGGGTTTTCTTGAAAACTTGAACGAATGCCCCGAGGGGTATATTGCAAAGATGGTTCGTCCAACCAACCCCAAGAGTACTTTGGCAAAGATTTTTAATTGTCAGAAGGGTATCCGGCTCTACCCACATCTATAGGGGTATTTTCGCGCATATCTCAACTCTGAGGGGTATAACGCAATTGTTTTTGCCGAAACTGGGATCTCGAGTGACGAGTGAGCGGGAGAAAACAAAGATGGAGGACATAAAAAAAGCGTTGCTGATCAGAAGGGAGAACTCGATGTGCAACACGAGGAGAGGGAGCGTTGCGCATGTTCTGGGGAAGACCAGAGAGACGACTTGGCGATGAAGTCAGCGGCACGGCGGGCATAGCACGAAAGTTTCGGCCGCTTGCGCGTATCAAGGGAAGGCGCGTGGAGAAGGTGGGTGGTTCGCCTCTTACGCTTCCCCCCACCTTTCCTCCTGGTGATCAGAAGCAGATCTTTCCGGTCTCCCCCTCTTGTCCGACCCTCGGATCTTTGCCTATCTACCGGGTTTTGAATCATGGCTCTTTCCTGTTTGCCTCACCGACTACTGTGCCCTCCTCTTCCACATCCCCCTTGCCTCCCCTCCTTGTCCGATTCTCTCCCCACTCTTCCGCCTTCCTCCCTTCCTCCCCCCTACTCGGCTTTCTTCCTCCTTCATTGTCCCGGTCACGCGTTCTTCCTTAGCTTTTCCATCTGAATGCGCTCCTCCTCCTCCTTCTCCCTGTACCGCCTCAGATCCCGACTCCGAGTCCCCTTTCCATGCCTGGTATGCACTACCTCCCTCCTCCTCGATCCTGTCCTCTTTCTCGTACCTCCCTCCTCCTCGATCCTGTCCTCTTTCTCGTACCTCCCTCCTCCTCGATCTTGCCCTCTTTCTCCTACCCCCCTCCTCCTCGATCCTGTCCTCTTTCTCCTATTCCGCCCCCCCGGCCCACGGTCGTAACTCCTCGCGCTTCCCGGTGCTTCCCCGAACGATGTCCGCCTGTTGTCTCCCTTACTCCTCTTCCGCGTGAGTCCCGATCTCCCCCCCCCGTTCCCTTCTCCCCCGCCTCCTGCAGTCAACAAACGGACCCCACTACGACTTTTGGATTGCGCCTTCTCGACTCCGGGCCCTTCATTTTTCCCTTCCTCTCCCCCAACGACCCATGTTTCCCCCGACCCTCCGCCGACCCTCCCGCGACTCTCCCCCGTCTCCTCCTCTTCTCTTTCCCTTCATGCTACGCGATTTCCTCAACTAATTCCATGTGCTGATTCCCCTCCGACTCCTCCCCACCTTGACCTCCTCGCTGCTGCGCCAGTCTCCCCCTGACTTTCCCCCGATCCTCTCCGCCTGCTCGTACTTCCCCGCTCACCCCCATCGGCTGGCCAATCTCCCCTTTCCCCCATCTCTCGGGCTGCTGCTGCCGCAGTTGGCACCCTCTTGTCGCTGAATTGCTGCTGCTGTCACTGCTGCTCCCTCAGCCTTCACCCCCTGCCCAACACAAAATCTTTCCCCGGCTGATTGCGACAGTGAATGCCTGTCTGTTGCCTCCCCAAGTGCCTGTCTGCCGCTGCGGCAGCGAAGCATCCCTCTTTGCTAGCCCGATATAATGCGCCCGCAGGGACGCACTCCCCGTTCCCCCTCCCCCTCTCTTTACGTGCATGTTCAGCGACACGTGGCGCGCTGGTACAAGTCCGAAGGGGAAACGGTATCCCTCTCTCGCACTCGTGAAGAAATGCCGATGGGAATGCATTTGACCAGATCTGCAACCAGATTCAGTCAAAAAATCCATCGTGCTGAGATCAAATTTTACTGTCTGCCTGCCGATCTGGTCAAATGCATTCCCGCCTTTTTTGTTTTTAGTTCATTCAATTTTGTACTGTCCGATGGGTTAACCCTTCCCGCCCTTCTTTCTGTTTTCGTTCATTCGATTGACAAACTCAGTGGGTGTCGTTTCCCGCCCTTTTTTTCGTCATTGCTCATTCAATCTATAAATGCAAGGGGGTTTCTTCCCGCCCCTTTTTTGTTTCTGGTTCATTCATTTTGTGTTGTACTTATACATATACACGTATGTATCTGTCTCTCTTTTTCTGCGCCCTGTTTTGTCCCCGTCTCTCCCGCCCTTTTTCTGGTTTCCGTCGCTCTCTTATGGATCCGTAAATCTGCGAGCACAGATTCTAAATGACGACCTCTTCCCGCCCTTTTTTGTTGACCTTCCCGCCCTTCTTTGTTGACCTTTCCGTCCTTTTTTGTTGACCTTTCCGTCCTTTTTTGTTGACCTTGCCGCATATCAGATTGACATCGACTGCGAGTCGGCGTGCGGTGCCTCTTTCGTTTCTTCGTCGAGCTGTTGGCGCGCCAAGTCTTCCGCTTGCCGTTCCAATCACGATGACGTCAACGGGTATTCGCCGCGGCGGGCACGTGGCAGCCCTGTTGGTGTGCACGCTTGTTGCGCTGGCGGCTTGGGAGGCTGAAGCACGACCAGTCGCACCACCCCCTGCGCCCGTCTCTCTGCACGCTCTCTCTCGCGCTTGCGCCGCTTACACGGGCAACTGCAACCAGAGCGCAGCGTGCGCTGCAGCCATCGCAAAGTATAGAGAGCAGGTGTACAAGGTCGCCGATTACTGCGACTGCGCGAACGCGATTGGCGCCGACTTGATTCAAGCGTATCCGAATGTGAGCGCGGCCGTGACCTACATCTCGAACTGCATGCCCGGATGCATCTACGGCCAGCAGTGCCCCTTCGTCGGCACTCTCGTCGCTGTTCTGAGCAACGGCGGCGGGCGGGGAGCGATGAAAAACGCCGGCTTGTCAGGCGTGGCGGTGGTGAAGCTGAATCTGGAGAAGGAGGAGGTCTGCTTCGACGTGACTGCGCCTAAGCTGACGGGCAACTATAGCGCAAAGGGTCTGGAAGTGACAATCAAGCAGGGCAGTCCGTTCGAGGGGGGGGCGATTGCCCTCTCTCTGTCCAAGGCAACCCCCGGAGTTCTCTCTGGATGCATGAAGCCGGCCAACTTTGACGTGGCAAAGGACATCGCCTACTCTCCGCACGAATACTACGTGGAAGTTGCAATGAAGTGTCTCTCCGTCGGAGCTCTGAGAGGGAGCCTCGGTACCTCTGCTGCGCTCATGGCCGTCGTCTCTTCTCAGCCATGCGGACCCGCCGCTCCCTCCTCCCCCAAGCCTGTCAAGAAGGGGTACGTGAGTCTGGTCCTAGACACCTTCCGTCTGTGCTACAAGCTCGGAGGCATTGCTAACAACACCGCAAAGGATGCTGCGTTGATCAGGGGCGATGTGTGCAAGAATGCCGCCGCCGCTGCTGCTGCTGCTTCTGCTGCTCCAGCAGCTATTGGGACAAAGAACTCCACCGTCGTTGCTCCGCTGTTTGGAGGATCGACCACCATATCTCCGGCGATGGCCGGATGCGGGACGCCGGCGAAGCTCACCATCCTCCAGATCTTGGCAGATCCGAGCTCCTTCTTTGCCAGCCTTAACGTCAGCGACGGCGCGGCTGCCTCCTCTCCCATCCACAAGCTTGAAGGACGACTGCTTAGCAAAGTGTCCCTAACGACGACCGTCACGGCGGCTGACGTCGTCGTCGTGCCTTATCGCAAAACGAAGAAGCCGAAGGGTACTACCGGTAGCAGTGAGGCTGCTGTCAAGGTCGATCTGGTGATCGGTGAAGGGTACGCGTGCTACTCCTTCAAACCGGGAAAGAGCTTTGAGCAAGTAACGGCAGCTTATCTCCGGGCAGGCAAGGCGAAAACCGTCGGAGACATTCTCGCTGTGCTCTTCCGTGATGTCGCTAAACCTCCGACGACAGGATGCGTCTGGCTCGACAGCGAAGTCATCGCCGACATGGCCGCTGACCCCTCCGCGTACTACGTCAGCATCGCTACCAAGCACCGTCCCGTCGGAGCAGGACGCGGGCAGCTTCAGTACCCAGCATAAGGGCATTGACGTCATCTCGATTATATAAACAACCCTCCCTGCATCCGATTTCTACTATTATTTACTTAACCATGTGCATGCTTGCGTGCGCGTGTGCCTGTGTGTTTGTATGTGTGAATTTGTGTCTGGAGGTGGAAATCGTCGAGTAATTTGTTCACGAGTCTTAAGGAGTGTGTTTATATATTTGAATGTGTGTATGTGTGTGTGTGTGTGTGTGTGTGTGTGTGTGTGTGTGTGTGTGTGTGTGTGTGTGAGAGAGAGAGAGAGAGAGAGAGAGAGAGAGAGCGTGCACCGGTTATTGATTCGTTATTTGTGCATATCTGCGGTATTTGTGCATATTCGTGCCACGTGTGCACCGGTTATTGATTCGTTATTTGTGCATATCTGCGGTATTTGTGCATATTCGTGCCACGTGTGCACCGGTTATTGATTCATTTCTGTTTGATGAGATTGTCTATTTTCTAGCACACGTGTTTTGGCAATTGGAGGGGGACTTGTGCTGGAGGCGGAGAGTGAAGGGTACTGTCGAACCCTGCCGGTATTTTTTGTGTGCGACATGACATTGTGCAGATGGTCGATGAACTAGTGACGGCTTTGTGTGAGAACTGTGAAATTATTCGTGATTGTCCAAGGAGGAGGCTGATCGCTGGCTATGTGTGAGAACTGTGAAATCATTCCTGATTGTCCAAGGAGGAGTCTGATCGCTGGCTATGTGTGAGAACTGTGAAATTATTCCTGATTGTCTAAGGAGGAGGCTGATCGCTGCTGCACGGTCCGGCTATTCGGGATTTTCTGACGATGGTGGTAATTGTTGTTCCCTCGATCTAACCACGGTTTCAATTGTTGTTCCCTCGATCCAACGACGGTTTCAATTCAGAGTCAGATTCAGTTGCAGACGGAGTCAGCTCCTCTCTGACGTGAGGAGCTGGCGATGTCAGGTGCACGTCGGCATGAACCATTTAATGTTTGCGGAAAATATGAGGGAGGGAGAAGAGAACGGAGTAGAGAGGGAAGGAGGGTGGGAGGAAGAAATGCTTCTCGACACAGTAGAGGTAGGGAATGCCCCAGAGTTTGCGAAGTTAGCGCTCCTCTGTTCAGTGTTTTTGATATGATGACTCGCGAATTCAACTACGGTCTATCTACCGTAGTCTTTTTGATACGGCGTGACACATTCTGACACGTGTTCTGACACGTTTACACACTAACATGGGTTTCAATAGGGTTGGTGGTCAATTAGGGACGTCGATCGAAATCGATCCTGTTTGAAATCCACGGAACAAAATGAAAGAGCACGAGAAATCGACATAGTACGAGAGGTTAGTACGAAACAATGAGAGAGTAGAAGAGAAATCGAAAGTTGGGTGGTTTTGATCTTTGCGCTGTTCAATGGGATACGTACAGAGATTCGATCTTGCGACAGATAAATCGATCGGAAGGGAGGACAGACATATGTAGAGACTCGATTCAGTGGGTTGGATCTGTCAAGTTTCTGTCGACTCTGGGGTTATCTGGGGTCATCGTCGAAAGGCAGTGCTGATCGATCGGATGAGCTTGTGGGATACGTAAAGAGAGAGAGAGAGATTCGGACTTGAGACTATGTAATCAGAGCATTGCTTGTTCGAATCCACGACCAGTGGGGTGGATCTGTCAATTTTCTGTCGACTGGTCGTCTGGTGTTATCTTCCAAATTCAGTGTCCCGCACAACGACGCATGGCACACAGGATATGTCTGCCATTACCTAAGCTTGTAAGTAGGGGAGTTGGAATGATGACCATTCCTCTCATTCGTGAAGGACAAGAGGACCCGTCGACGAAGATCTTAGTTAAGGGCGATAATGCTGATGAGGAAGGGGTGAGTGTTTCTGCCGAACAAAAGAAATGAGGAGGTTCGCCGAAATGATGACGACTCCTGCCATCAAGGAGAAGAGCACACGTCGAAGAATAATTTAGGAGTGTCGTAACGCTGATGAGGAAGGGGTGGGTGGACTTTTTCTCTCGAAAATGAGGAGTTTCCTCGGTCGCCGAAATACAACTACGGTCTACGCTATGGTCTACACCGTCGTTTTTTGCTACATTCTACCTTCGCTTCCCGCTCTTTATTCCCCCCCAATGTTTCTTTTTTGAAGATTTTTCATCTTTCTTCGTCGGCTTTCTTCTTTGAGCAAGATTATTTTCGTGCGGAAGCAATGTTGATTGCTTATCTTTGAGCATGAACGCTTAGCGATTGGCGTCGTTAGTTCAGTTCCTGTTTCTTCATCTTTCTTCTTTGTTTCGTCTTCGTCTTTCTTTCTTCTTCTTCCTTCTTCTTCTTCTTTCTTCCTTCTTCTTTTACCTTTCTTCTTCTTCTTTCAGACAGAGGTGGTCGGGAAGTGAGGTGGTGCCACGATCCGATATTGGTAGAAGCCACCTGGCCACCTGAGGAGTGTCAGGGGCGCAGCTTGGCCGAAACGCGGCGGTGAAAGAGCGATGAAGTTTCATGTTGAGAATTGTACATGCGGAGAAGTTTCCTGCTCAGTGCAAATCTGTCGATACGTGTACAAGAAGCAAAGCAGTCTACGGGCACTGTTTTCACTATTGGTATTTCTTCTTCGTCTTTCTTCTTCGCTTCGTCTTTCTTCTTCTTCTTCTTCCTTCTTCTTTCTTTCTTCTTCGCTTCGTCTTTCTTCTTCCTTCTTCTTCCTTCTTCTTCGCTTCGTCTTTCTTCTTCCTTCTTCTTCGCTTCGTCTTTCTTCTTCCGTCTTCTTCGCTTCGTCTTTCTTCGTCTTTCTTCGTCTTTCTTCTTCGTCGTTTTTGTCTTTATTTGCCCGATTGGTGGGCAATTCGATTTCCATCGTGGGCACAAATTGGTCCGGCCCGAATAGGCCCGAAGAGACGTTGTCGGATGGGGTACTGCTGTTGCGCTAGCTACCGTGCTTGATAATAATAATCAAGACTGCTCTTTTGAGAACCTTCTCGAGAGGTAGAGGTGCAAGCAATCGCCAAGCATCCCTCAAGTATATGGACTCTGCAATTTCTCAACAGCTAATCTAGGAACGGATCGCAGATCGGCAATTCTCACTTGTCAAAAGCCATATTGAGTCAAGCTGGAAAGAAATGGCCAAGCCTGTATTAAGCGTTGACTTTTCAATTTCTCAAGAGGGAATAGGCCTCCAATTTTTTTTTTGGAAACCGCAAGAGTGAAGCCTGAAGCCTGAAAGAAATTGTCAAGTCTCCATCAAGCGTGCACCATTGTACTTGTCAAGACTGCAGCCGGACACAGACGCAAAAAGGTCGCCAGGCCTGGACCATTGAAATTGCCGAGATTCAAGCCGGAGGTGAGAGAGAGAGAGAGAGAGAGAGAGAGAGAGAGAGAGAGAGAGAGAGAGAGAGAGAGAGAGAGAGAGAGAGAGAGAGAGAGAGNGAGAGAGAGAGAGAGAGAGAGAGAGAGAGAGAGAGAGAGAGAGAGAGAGAGAGAGAGAGAGAGAGGGAGGGAAACGTTGTACTTGTCAAGACTTGAGCCAGACACAGACCGAAAAAGGGCAACAGGTCTGGACCATTGAAATTGCCGAGATTCAGAGAGAGAGAGAGAGAGAGAGAGAGAGAGAGAGAGAGAGAGAGCGAACTCCTACATGTTGTCTTGATGGACGCAGGTATGGTTACGTGTGATCGTGATTTTTCTTACGTATATGGATTGCAGTCATCAGTTATTAATTAATTAATTCTTAATTAATTCTTTGAGCTGTTTAAGCTAGAGCCATTTCCATTCACATTTCATTTACTAGTTTTTGAAATTGCTTTGGTTTTGCGAAAATAAAAAAATTAAAAAAAATGCTTTGGTTTTGCAGCCATGGGAATTTACTAGTAGGATTTTTCATTGTGTTTTCTTGTGTTTCTCTTTCGTGGTCGTTTGGAGTGGTGAAACTAATGATGTTCAGAATTGAATGCTTGGTTCCCTCTCGACGTTCAGAACTTTTTTCGACTGAATGTGGTCAGAATGTTGGCGAGATACATCTGCAAGTTTGCCCTTCTTTCTCGAGGTTTTGATGGCTGATGCCTATCCTAAGAAATACCTATTGACACGAGGATTTTGACTGAATTTGGTCAGCATATTGGCCAGATTCATCGGGGTCATTTTTTTCTTTTCCCGCGGAGGTTATAGGAGCAGCCTTCACCATTAGGCCCCCCTGTTATACCTCTGTCTGGGGTAAACCGTCTTCCCCCGAACACAACGCACCTTGACAATGAATGTATACAAGCTGTGCAGGTACACAGCCAAAATGAGGGTGCGTTGTGTTCGGGGCAAGACGGTAGCAGTGTCTGCTAAAACAAAAGAAAACGAACCCCCCCTGAGAGAAGATGGCTCCCACCTCCTTGTGGAGAATAGTGAAAGGAAAAAAAAAAAGAGTAAAAAAAAATGTTCCATGATGACGTGGCAGAACCCCGGTTGAAAAGAAATATATATGTGAGGTGAGAGAAAAATAAATGGCAAAAATATATGGCTTGTGATGGGGTGTGAACCGACAGTCTGTAGAGTTTTCCATCTGGTGTGGGTGAGTGATAGTCTACTTTGATTTTGGTTAAGGTGGATTATCACTTA